AGGAAATTGAAGTGAAATAACTTGCCCAGGGTCACACAGCTAGTTAAGTGCCTGAGGCCAAATGTGAATTCTGGTCTTTCTGCCTCCAGGCCCAGGGTTTTAATTACTGTTCCACCTGCCTTCTCCTCTAAATGAACATCTCATTATCTAAATGTGAAATTCTAAATCTACTGTCTGAAGAGTGAGGTCAGTGATGTTCTTTCTATACAAAAACGTTGAGAACTACTGAAACAAACCAGGAGGGAAGGCAGGAAAAGGAATAAGTATTTATATAGTGCCTACTATATGCCAGGCATTGTGCTAAGCACTTTATAAATATTTATCTCATTTGATCCTCACAACAAACCCTGAGAGGTAGGTGCTATTATTATTATTATTCTCATTTTACAGCTGAGGAAACTAAAGCAAACAGAGGTTAAGTGACTTGCCCAGGGCCACACAGCCAGTAAGTGTCTGAAAGCAAATTTGAACCAGATATTCCTGACTTCAGGCCCAGTGCTTTATCCACTGCTCTACCTAGCCGCCTCCAAAAATACTTACTGGGCAAGCATCTACCATATGCAAAGTAGTTAAAAGCCTAAGAACACAAAAGGAGAGATCAAAAGAAAGACAAATCACATTTTTGAACTACTAAAATTATGGTGTATCAATACAAATGTCAAAGAGAACACAAACTGAAATAAAGTTAAAGTATAGAGGCACTTATAAATGACAGCATAATATTCTCAAATACATCTGTTATTTCATTTTTTATAACTATATACATATGTATGTATGTATGTATGTATGTATGTGTGTGTATAAATTAATTCATGGTCCAAGTACAGTCTACAAAACTACAAAACATACAAAACTAAAATAACCAACAAATCATATTTTAAGCTATCAGAAAACAACTGCTTAAGGAGACAGGGGGTAAAATGTTAGTCTTAGAAGTTATCTAGTCCAATATTCATAATAATAAAAAAACTTAGGCCCTGAAATGTTATGAAATCTTCCCTGACTGAAACCCTCAATTACATAGGACCTAAGTGCCAGAACTACAAAACTCAGGTCTCCAGACTGCTAGTACAATATGCTTTCCCATACCAGGGGTCCGCAAGCTGTTCAAATATGAGGATTTCTATTTAACTTTATAAGAATTTCTCACCCATTTCCCCCAATGACAGTAACTGTAATCATATTAATTATTTCTGTTGGTTGAGAAAACGCATGACAAAAAATAATACCATGGATTCGGCAATATGTTTAAATGTACATGGATTTTACTATATAACAGTATTTATACATATCAAAAATACTAATACATACAAATGCATGACATTTATTCAATCTACAAAATGGCAAGGTTATACAAATGAATGCACAGTCCCTTTGAGATAACTCCACAGTCAAAAGGTTGGAAACCACCCAACTAACCCACACTGTTTAACCCTTATAAGATGGAAATGGTTAACTAGTTCCATAAAGGAACTGAAACTTAGAATGATATTTTAAGAAAACTTTTAATACCACTATCAAATGAGAATATAAAGAGGAAAAGACTAGAAAGATGGAAACTACTTAGAGGATTTTTTAGTAATCCAGACATGGAAAATGAGTAACTGAATTAAGGTACTACCAATGAAAATGGAAACAAAACAACAGGATAGATTTCAAAAGAATTATTGACAAGACTAAATATGGGAAATAAAAGAGAAGAAAGAAAAAAATAACTAAGATTTCTAGCCTGGAAAACAGAATAGGGAAAGGAAGGAGGAGCAAATTAGGGGAGAAGATGCTGTTAGGATTTTGATATATTTAATTTATGATGACTGAAGGGGGGGGACAGTCACACAGAATTGGAATCACAAAGCAGGAGACCAGATTAAAAGTTGGAAATACTCTTGGAAACACCCTCCTTAAAAAAAAAAAAAAAAAAAAAAAGATCCAGATCTACGATTTCATTAGTTTCTGTGGGGACTTCCAGTATGAGAATTCTTTCTATCAAGGCAGATCTGTCAGACTGAGAGATTAAATCACTTGCCCTTGGTCACATAGCTAGCATCAGAAGCAGTACTTGAACCCTGACTACCAGATCAGCCCTCTATGCATAAAGTCATACAGCCTTTGAATTATCAACAATGCAATTCTAACAGGAAGGAAATTAATACATGAACAAAAACAGAATTGACTCCCTAAGGCTTGATATCACAGTCGAGTCTTCTTCTGAAATTGGCAGGTGAGATCAGAGGCCCCAGATCTGCCTAGAGAAAACAAACATTCCTCCATGACACATGGTCATGAAGTAAACCAGATCTTGTTCCTCATCATTTGGGAAAGAGCTAGAAATTTTCCAGAATCATCAAAATAAAGATGAGCAGAAAGTAGAAAGGCTTAGTGGAGGTGGAAGACCAAGATCTATAAAAAGCAACGAGAATCCAGCATCTAAAATTTGGTGCCAGGTAGATATTTACGATTTTCTACACAATCATTTTTCAAACTTGCTTTTGTATATACACACAAATGCCAATATGTGTGTATACACACACATATACACATACACACGTGTATACACACATATAGATAGAACACCCATGTATATAAAACATATATTTTTGTTTATGGTTAACTAGGTTTAGAATAAAGTAAATAAGTAAAAGGTGGTATCAGAAATCAATTTTCCAGTACCTACCCTTTACCCTTCAAATTCCTCACAAAAATCCATTTCATTAACAGGATTTTCTGATGACACTCTCTAAAATATGACAACTGGGAAACTGTGGAATGTAATATGAACACTAAACTTGCCAACTATGTTACTGCAACTTATCCTCTCCTCCTTCCCTCTTCATATCTTATCTGGTGAGAAGAAATGAGTGGAAGTTATCTATGTTCATTGGTGTTTTCAGAGAGGCCTCCCTCTGAACCAACCAGAGTTAAGTTTAGGTTTGAATGCTGTCAACACTCAAATGCTTAACTCACCAACAAAACCCACAAAAGGTCCCCTGTCATTCATATGCTTTTCTTTTCAACAGAGGAGTCTGAACCTAGTACTGACAGCTTTTATTTGGGGGAAGAATTGAGTTTCCTTGAATTTATACTTATCTTTGAAATCTTAAAGATATATAGCTGTGATTCCACAGTGATATCACTTAGGCACTAGAAATCATTCAATTCACTAGTTTTCCCTAATATTTCACTTATGCCTATTTATAGGCAAACTTTAGCCTTTAGTCCTTTAGCAGAATGATTCTTTTGGGGAAACCCTGTGTCTTATCATTATATGGTGCCATACCCGTAACACGGATCTAATTTTCTAAAAATTACCATAAAACACAGCAAAACTTTCTAAGCATTCCAAAATGGAGAACACATCTCAGCCTTCATAAAGTGAAATGACTACTTATAAATTAAAGTCTGTTTAGAAACTTCAATTGAGAGCATAAATGTTAATGCTCTGAATTTAGAGAAAATTTACATTTTAAACATGGTTAAAAGAAGTATTAGAATTATTACCAATTTTTACATACTTCACAGATCTAAAATGTACTCCCCTCCAGGACAAGGCTGGCAGACCATCTCCAAAATTAAAAAAAAAATTATATATAATAAGACTTACTAAGGCAAAGTAGAGTAAGTACAACCAGGAAAACAGTATCAACAACAACCAAAACAACGTTAACAAAATAGAACCAAAAAAATTAACTGAATGCTGTATAATTATACAAGTTTGGCCCTGAAAAAGAGCTAAAAGGATAAGACACTATAGCAACAAGATACTACATATATTAGCAAATATGGTCAACATCCCTCCTCCCCCTTTTTTTTAATCATCGTTACAAGAAATAGATCACTGGGTAAGGGAAGAGGGAGAGACATGTTCTAAAATTAAGGTGAGAGACAAACAAAAGACATCAATTTTAAAAACATAAATAAAGGGAGATACATATTTGAAAAGATATTCCCTGCTCATGACTTGGCCCTATCAATATAACAGAAATGGATAAAAATTAAATGACTATAGTGTATTGAGAAGAATAAAGCCAGGGAAAAACTCTTCTCGGGAATCCACAGCAGAAGAAGCTTTGAAGAAACCCAAAGTTGAAAGATGAAACTGCTGACACCTCTCTGAAAGCCAACCAGAGGAATTACTTGGCTATAGGAATAGAGCACCTACGGTATTACTGACGTGAAGTAACAAACCTAGTAAATATTTGTAATGAACTTAAGAAATAGGAACTAATGTTTTCAACAGAACATTTTCTAGGTGTACGGGGTATGGAATGACCATAACTCTGCTAGTATCTCAACTGTTCCATGATAAGCAAGATAAGTTGTGTCAGAGTTTGCAGTATACTAGGCAATCATTTCACAGCACTAACAAAATGAAGCATATGATAGATCAAATTTTATTCAATGTTTTATATAGCCTTGAATAAATATAACCTATGGTTCTGGAAGGCATGTAGTCTAGATATCTCTCTAAGCTGAAGGATCTATCAAGGGTTTCCTATATAAGGTAGTAAAGTAAACTAAATCATCTTCAAACTTAAGGACATTAGCCTACTTAAACCAAACTAAGAGATGGTAAAGGGATTAAAGAGAGACTGAGGAGTTTTGATCCTCCACTCCACAGCATGAAGGTAATATAATCGGAAAAAAAAAAGAGATACCTGTAACTTATCTTGTATCCTATATGCACTAGAGCCTTGAATATTATGACACTGACACTTTCTATATCACTGACAGGCCTAAACTCAAACTTCTAAAAAAAGATGGTTATTAAACCCATTCAAATGCTTAAATAGGATTCTAACATTGTCCTTAAGCTCTTTTAACCAAAAAAAGAGGAAAACCTAAACTTCAGAGTTTGAATTAATATAAAACTACAACAGTAGCACAATTAGTCAACTTTAAATAAAATACAAAAAAATTTTAATGACTTATTTTATTTGGGAGGTCAAACAGTATAATTTTAGAATATCACTGCTACACTCTTTGGGGCAATGTACAATCACCACCAAGACTAAGAGAGTCTACACAGGAAAACAAATTTCAGAGTTTACGTCTGAAGAGAAACTAACAGAAGTGGGGAAAAAAAATCACAGAATCACAGGTTTACAGTTGGGAAGCACTCATTACAGGATGTTAACACTTGATGGAGCTACAAGAAAAAGTATTCTTATTGTGTGTAGAATTTTGGAGACAAATACCAAACTGAGGTACTCGCTCCATACTAGTCAATTTAAGATTTGTTCACGATCTACAAAACTATTCTATTAATGTCTTTCTTACCTGAACATAAGTGTTCAATCTTTGTCAAGGTCAACTGCAGAGATTCATTGATCCAGGCCAGCATATCATGTCGACTCAAATTATCACTAGTTACTGAAGTTGAATACACGTTAACTGCCATCTTCTATAATATGGGGAAGAAAAAAGAAAGTTTCACAGTATCGTAAACACACCTGTCAGAAAATCTGCTGGAAAATGTTCCACAATGTGGCTTGCTCACAATAAGGACTGACTAAACCAGGGGTAGGGAACCTGCAGCCTCCAGGCCATATGTGGCCTTCTAGGTCCTTGGGAGCGGCTTTTTAACTGAGTCCAAGTTTTACAGAACAAATCCTTTTATTAAGGGGATTTGTGCTGTGAAGCTTGGATTCAGTCAAAGGGCTGAAGTTGAGGACTTGCAGGGCAGCATGTGGCCTGGAGGCTTCAGGGTTCCCATCCCTGGACTAAACCATTCAACTGAGACCTTGATAACTGGATCCCAATGAACAATTGGCTTGGCACTACTTCTTAAGAGTCTAATCAGATTCCTACTACCCATGAATAGCTAATATCCAGCACAAGAATCATAGACTCGCAAATTTAGATCTGATGTATAATGAAAATTCCTTATTTTTACAAATGAAGAAACTGAGACCCAGAAAAGTAAAGTAATTTGCTCAAGTTCACACAAGTAATGGGTGGCAAACCTGGAATTTGAAACCAAGTGTTCTGACACCAAAAACAGCTGTATTTCCACTCTACTGTTATGCTTCAAATTGCTTTTTTATAACCTGAAATGAATCACACAGGGCCAATCAATTTAAGGGAATTACATTTTGATGTGGTGGATTTATAACTCTAAACTTCCAGCAGACAATGAAGAAAAGGATGATTAAAGGTTTCATGAATTGAAATTGGTGAACATACGAAAATATCTAACGTTTTCTACTCAAACAGTAAAAACCTAAAGAAAATGTCATCCAAAAAAAAGAGAAAAGGACCTATTTGTACAAAAATATTTACAGCAGCTCTTTTTGCAGTAGTTAAGAATTGGAAATCGAAGGGATGCCTATCATTTGGGGAATGGCTAAACAAGCTGTGGTATATAATTGTAATGGAATATTATTGTACTATGAGAAATGACAAGCAGGATGATTTCAGAAAAACCTGTAAAGACTTACATGAACTGATACATAGTGAAGTGAACAGAACCAGGACAACATTGCACACAGTAACAGCAATACTGTTCAGTGAAGAACCATGAATGACTTAGTTATTCTCAGTAACACAATGATCCAACACAAACCCAAAGGACTAATGACAAAGCATACAATCAGCCTCCAGAGAAAGAACTGATAATGATTGAATACAGACAAGTGGCATGCTATTTTTCACCTTCTTTCATTTTTTTCCTTTTATTCCGTCTTCTTGTGCAAAGCAACTAACATGGAAATGTTTTACATAACTGCACACGTATAACCTATATCTAATGGCTTACCATCTCAGGGAGGGAAAGAAGGAAGGGAGGGATAGAATATGGAACTCAAAACTTTAAATAGAAATGTTTAAAAATTGGGAGAAAAAAAAAGAAAAAAAATGTCAATCCAGACTTCATATGAAAACTCTAATGGCAACTATACAACTGAAGACCCAGAATACTATGACCATATCAACTTTATCTAAACAGAGTATCACCAACATGAGCATTTACTGAGCACTCAACCAAAGTTTTATTTATGATGGCGAGGAAGGAACCCTGGGTTTTTGTAGGTTATATCACCGTAGCTTAAGTTATCAGGTTAAACCATGCAGGAAAAGCCTTGTGTATAGTTTTCAGAATAGACTGCATGTGCTTTCTGAATATGGACCTAAAGAAGTACAGAAAGGCTGACAACCAGTAGGCTGGCCACCAAGTGATGTATTTTTTGGCCAAAGCAACCCACAGTATGCAAGTTTAATTTAGAATATTCAAACTAGCGTGGTGACTGTACTCTAAGTATCAGCTACATGTAAACAACATGATGTGTTGGAAAGTTAATTAGGAGCTAGTCACTCAACAGTCACCATAGAGATGGCAACTGTAAACCAGAACAGAATCTAAAACATCAATTTCTGAAAATAAATTATTTAAGAAGCAATTCAGCATAGTATAAATATCGAATCTGCAGTCAAAATGCCTGGATTTAATTTTGCCTTAGATACTTAATAGCTGTGTGATCACAGACAACTAATTCACTTAACCTCTCCAGAGCCTCAATTTCCTTATCTATAAAATAGACGTGATTATATTTATACTACCTACCTTCCTGCGTATCCTTGAGGGAAGGCTTTTTATACCTTCACACACACTAGAAATGTTACTAACTTATTATTTTGAATTTTTATTACTGTTACTACTATTATAATTAAAAATAGTCATTTTCCTCCCCAATAATGCAGGTTGTCATTCCATGACAAAACTAATTAATAGAGAAACAATTCAGATAAGGAATAGAAATGTGAAGAAAAATTTGTGAATAGCTAAACATTTTTCTCACAGCACTTACTACTTTTTTAGATTTACCATATGCCAATTCACATTAGGCTTATCTTTGTCCACATCTGACCACCCTTATTAGTCTGCAAGTTCCTTAAAAGCAAGAACTAGGTCTTATTTATCTCTATTTCTCATTCAAGGTCTAGTATGCAGTGCAAAGCTCATAAAAGGCAAGTTGGCAAGTGTTTATCTATTTACTGTTGAACTCAGAAAGGAAAATCCCATGTCTTGGCTCACAAAGCCAATCCTGATCAAAACCTATACCTACATCTCTGTGTATGATTGAACAAAAGTCAAAAACTGTCAGGTACATAGAATACGCAGCATACTTCATAGGTTTATGAGCAGATACAAATGAAAGTGAAGCCACCGTCTCTAGCCTGGAGAAGGATATATTCTTATTTGCATAGCTCAAGTGTGCAACATGTATGATTCATAATGTGTGTCACGCAAGCTTAAAATCTAAGCAGATGGAGTCCTAATCATATGCATTCCAATATGCAACTGAGTATATTTAAATAGCCTTCCATCTTCTTACGATTTCAAATCCTTTCATTAGTGTATAGTAATAATTAAGCCACCCACAGTACAGAATAGACAACCACTGAATGTATATCTCCTGTATACACAAATTAAATATTCAAGTATTCTATCAATATCCTAAATATGTTGGTGAGAAGGCTTAAATATGATTGATGACCTGGATTTCTGCCCTGCCTCTGCCAGTTACAGGACTTTGTCATTTCTATTAGATTCACTTTCTTTATCTGTAAAGTGGGGAAAACAAAATTACTTTCCTAAAAAGGGATAGGTAGTTTAAGTATTAATATCCTTATTTTGCAGTAGAACAGTTTATAAAATGCAGTACAGTAGAATGAGTGCTGTAGCTTAGTCAGAGAACCTAAGTTTAAAGTCCAGCTTTGTCACCTTTGAGACTGTGAGCAAGTCACTTTACCTTTCTGGGTCTAAGTTACCTCATCTGTAAAATGAAAGAGGTCAAGATTAAATTACTCCTGAGGTTCATTCAGCTCTAAATCTATAATCGTATAAAGAACCCTCTGAGGTAAGTAATACAAATATTATCCCTGCTTTATAAAGTGAGAAACATAGTCTTAGAGACCTTAAGTGATTTGTCCAGGGTCATATGTCAGTTAAAGGTTTTAAGAGTGAGCAAAACTTGAAACTAGATCTTTTGACTCCAAGATCAGTAATCTTTTCCACTATTATCATGTTTACTTATATTACCTACTACATAAGATAAACATACATAAGATAAACATAAAGATCAAATGGTATGGCTACAAAAATGCTTCCTTACCTCTAAAGTGTAGCATAGTTATTAGGAGCTAGTCGTCAAATCCAGATACTCCCCCACATGTAATTCCAATCATCTGTCCTCCCTGGCATAGTCCCTATTCAGTCCCTACAGAGCACAAGTCCAACCTATCATGTGACTTCCTCACCCACCCCCTGACCCTTATCCTAAGCCTCAAAGCTGCCATGTAGCTGAAAAAGCAAAATGACAATACGGAGTCAGGGCACCTGGGGAAAATAATATCTGATTCTCACCAGCAGTGTGACCTGTGTCAAGTTCCTTATACTCCCTGGGTCCCATTTTTCTCATCTGTAAAATGAGGTGGTTGGTTGGTTTACCAGGAATTCTTAACTTTTTGTGTGTCATGGACTCTGCCTCTGGCATTCTGATGAAGCCAGATTATGGACTCTTTCTAAGAATGTTTTTAAACATATAAAATAGTTCTTAGTAATCCTTTGCCATGGAAACCAATTGTATTGAAACATTATCTATATCTAGCTATATATCTATGTATGTATCTCTCCACATAACACACACATACACAAGCACTTCTTCAAACAACTTCAAGGATCCTAGGTTAAGATCTGTAGACTAGATCATCTGTTAAATCCTTTCCACTTTAAAATCATGTGTGCCCATCACCACAGCCCCTCCCCCCACAAGTAATTCCAATCATTTAGCCTCCTGGGGCAGTCCCTACCCACCCAAGTCTAGCACAGCAAAACAGGATCGTGTCTCATGCTTCCTGTTCCTGTCTTAACCTCTAGTATTGACTCTCCATACCCCAGCAAATAAACTCCCTTTCACCAGAGCAACGTCCTACTATCTCTTCGATGTGTAACTGGGACTACAAACTCAATGAGGCAACAACACGGAGTCAAGCAAAAATGCTAATTAAAAGCTCGGTGTACAGAACTGAGGTAGTGGTAGTGACAGTCCCCCTGTACAATGCGCTGGTAAGAGTACATCTGAAGTTTTGTGTTCAGTTCCACGCACCACGTTTTAATAAGAGTACTGACAAGCAAGAGAATATTGAGAAGGGGTGGTAATGGACCGTGAGTTCATGCCAAAAGAGACTCAACTGCAGGAAATGTGGATATTTAGCCTTGGAGAAGAGAATACTGGGGGAAGCCACAATAACTGTGTTCGATGTTTGACCCTGGGCAAGTCACTTAACCCCAATTGCCTGGAAAAAAAAACCAAAAACCGTGTTCGAACATTTGAAAGGCTGCAAGTTTGATCCCACCGGGCAGAAGTAGATACAATCATTGGTAAAAGTTGCTAAGGCAGATTCAGGATTCATACAGGAAAAAACTTCCCAATAACTGAAACAATCTAAACATGGAATGGGCTGTCTCTCATAGTAATGGCTTCTCCCTCACCTACTGTCTTCAAGAAAAAGGTAGATGACCACTCATCAGATATGTAATGGAAGGGTATGCTTGACCAGGTATGGCCTCTGAGATTATTCCAACGCCGATATTCTATGATTCTATTTCCAATCATTTGACCTACCAGGAGTATTTCCTACCATTCTACATAGCATAGCTCACCAGCACATGCTTCCTACAGCTATGCTACAAAGATTTCCTACAGGGAAAATCCCTTCCCTGATTCGCCTCCCATCTTTCCCCCACCCCCTTCCCCGCCATTTCCCCATCTCTCAAAGCCATTCTGCTCCGGCTATTGGCACCACCCCACTTCTACACAACCCATCCCAGTCCTCTAACCCCGAATTCATGTCTTCCTCCCAATTCTCCTTCCCTTCGAAAATACCCCCTCCTTACACCCCTCGCACGCCGCAGTGCGACCCCAACTTCCGGCCAAGGCACCTTCCTCCCCTTCATCCCCTCCCCATTCACGCTCCCCGCACAGACACCCCTGCGCACGCGCACTCGCAGGGTCACGGCCCGACCCCTCCCCCACTTCCCCCTTCACAGGCTTCTCCCGCGGAGCCGACTGGAGCCCCCACAGGCCGCGGCTCCCGCCTTCTCCGGTTCCCGCTCCGCAACTCAGGCACCCGCCTTCCTGGGCTTCTACCGCCCGGCCCAGGCCGCGCCCCCGCCCCGCATCCCCGTCATCCACTCCTCACCGGCTTCTCGAGGCGCCTCGTATCCTATCTCGCCGGCCCCCCAGTTCCGTCTAGGTCTTGTTCAAACCGCCCGACCCCGCCCGCGCGATGACCTTATACGCACCCCTCCTTTCCCCAACGCCGAGACGTAATAGTGCGTCACCCCGCCCGGCCGGCTTCTGGGAGGGGAAGAAGGAGGAGAGGGAGAAAAAGAGCCACTACGGGGGCGGAGCCTCAGGGCTCTCTGAGCCGAAGCAAGGGCGCAGGGGGCGGGAACAAGGCTGGGGAGGGGGGAAGACACGTGGCTCACAGCAGCCAATGAGATCCCGACCTCGGTGCAGCCGTGGACCAGCCCAGAATTCTCACCCTGGAGCACAAGGTGTGGCTCTGACGATTGAATAAAAGCGGCTTAAAGAATTATCTGTCTTAAAACAGTCATAGACGGAGCAGTTCAGAGCTAGAAGGGCGCTTGAATAATGTCAAATTCAACAAATGTTAATATTATATGTCATATCATTATATATAGAATGTTGATGTGATGTAATATTGGGGCAGCTACATAGCTCCTTGGATGGAGTTCTGGGCAGGAAGTCAGGAAGACCTGAGTTCAAATGTAATCCCAGACACTTACTAGCTAGCTGTATGACTCTGGGCAAGTCACTAACCTGTTTGCCTCAGTTTCTTCATCAGTAAAACCAGCTGTTTTAGCACATTAGATAGTAAAACAAAGAAAGCCAAGTGAAGAATCAACAAATTCTATTAAGCCAGTTCTGCTGTTTTATCACATCAAATAGTAAAACAAACAAAGCCACTGTGATTTGATTAGTAATCAAAGAATCAACAAGTCCTCCCAGCTAGATGTCCTAATACAAAACCAAAAATAAAACAATCCCTGCCTTCAAGGAATTTACAATCTCTAGAGCATCTCCAAATATATACAAAATAAATACAAGCTAACTTTGGAAGAGGAAGGCACTAGCAAATGGGAGAATAAAGAAAAGCCTCAAGTAGAATGGAGATTAAGCTGGCCTTGTAAGAAAACTAGAGATGGTAAAAGGGAGATGAGGAAAGAATGAGTTCTGGGCACACAGGACAGCCTACAAGGCAAGGAGACAAGGCATAGAGTGTCTTGTGTGAAGAAAAGCAAGAAATCATCTTGTGCAAACACATCTTTTTATGATATAAGAAAGTGAGGCCCAGTCAGGAGAAGTTACTTGCCCAAGGTCACACAGCCAGGAATCAAAAGATCAGTAGGAGGGCCCAGGGCAGCAGTTCTTTAAATCCTACCACCTCCACAACAGCACCAAGGAGGAGGATGAGCACCTTTTCTTTGGGGTGTGTGAGGCTGTGGCAGCCATTAAAGTGGATGTCAAGAATATCTCACATACTGCTTGCCTTCTCAAGGAGGGGAGAGTTGTGGGAGGAAGAGAATTTGTAACTCAAAATTTTTAAAAATGAATGTTAAAAAAAAATTTTACATGTAATTGGGAAATATATTTTTAACGTGAAATTAAGGGAAGGGTGGGTTTCAGGGATGTTTTAATATTTTATTTTTTTCCAACTACATGAAAAAACAATTTTTAACATACTTTTTTTTAAAATTTTGAGTTACAAATTCTCTCCCTTTCCTTCCTTCCCTTCCCCTCCCTGAAACGGCAGGTAATTTGATATAGGTTATACATGTGCAGTCATGGAAAACTAATCGGGAAATATTTAACAAAATAAATAAAAATATTTTTAAAAAAAGAAGAAGAAGAAGAGGGATATCTGGAGGTAGGAGGTGCCTAGAACTGGAAGTCAATTGAAAGAGATCCTTTCTTGGTCAAAAGGCAAAGTAGCCTGAGAAAGCATGTGCATCTATGGTTTGGGATTAGAAACTGTTTGTGAACCATCTTTCAAAGAAAAGGAGGCAAAATGGAAAAAGCAGATTTCAATATTTATGACCACAGCATTGTCACAGGTGTCAAAGGCAAGTTGTTTCCACTAAGGAATGACAATCAAAGCTGCTTTACAGACCCTTTTAGGGAGGTAGTTTTGATTCCCATTCCAAGGTTGTACCTGGTTGCAGATTGCTTGCCCTCTGAACAGTAAGAAATAGATATTTTCCTCTTAGGACAAATAAACAAACAAAAAAAAGCAACTTTAAAAAGAGTGTCCTTTTCAAAAAACCTTCCTAGCATGACTTGTATATCCTTCCCTTTACATGGATGGTAGAATTACATCTAGATAAGGGGTGAATTCTAATTCAGATTCTCAGATTTTCCAAGTGTTTCATTTGAGGTCCCACAGGGAATCTCCCTGGAATTAAAAACCTATTTGATAATGCTGTTTTTCCCAGACCAGTCCTGAAGGTCCCATGGAAGAATCTTTATAATCTTGACATTAAAGGCACAATTAAAGGTAAAAGAACACTACATTTGGAGTCATAGGACCTAGGTTCAAATCTCAGCTCTGCCTGTATGACTGTAGACATGTCACTTAAACAATTTGGGCCTCAATATTCTCATCTGCAAAATGGGGGACTAGAGGAGGAGGTTTGTTTGTTTTTATTTATTTATTATTTTAGAGGCAATGGGGGTTAAGTGACTTGCCCAGGATCCGCACAGCTAGCTAGTAAGTATCTGACGTCATATTTGAACTCAGGTCCTCCTGACTCCAGGGCCAGTGCTCTATCAACTGCACCACCTAACTGCCCCATAGAAGAGGAGTTTTGAACTAATTATTCTCCCAAGCCCCTTCCAGTTCTGATTCTATGACCTTACATTTGTTTCCTTGATTTGCTTTTAAGGGAGTCTACCCATATCCTCAGTTATAGGAGAAAGATATCCTTTGAATTCATGTGGTAGGTAACCACTGCCAAATTAGTGCAGAAAATATAGAGGTAAAAGCCTCTGTTCTCTTAAAGCATAGGTTCAGGGAAAACCTGAACAATCATTAGTATTTTAACAGGGCCTCTTATAGGCAAAATTACATCTGAATGAAACAGAAATAATTCTTTTATGCATTGCAATCTTGTACTTTCCTCCTAGGCCATGAAAGTTAAAGAAAAGGTAAAGCCATAATCCCAATACTTCCTTCAGTGTCATGAAAGTTGAACAGATTTAGTTAAACAGAGTCATGATCTGATAGATAAACTTATCTAGTCAAACAGACTCTATAGGTAAACTAAGTCAGGTTACAGATTAAACTACATTTAGAGGGTTCACAGATAGGTCGATTGAGGGAGAAGATTTATATGTCCCCAACGAGTCAAAGAGAGTTGAGAGTTTTCCTCTGGCTTCTTATCTAAGGAATGTTTAAGGCTTTAAGTAAATTTTCACATCTCATGGGACAGGTTTTGATCAGATAAGGTTAATATTAACCAAAAGTTGCAGAAGTAATAAAAGGAAATAAAAAAATTTAAAATTCTCATTACACCTTAAAGTGCAATATAAGCCCAAGGCTATAAATGGTCTATAAATGCTGGGATCGACAAGTATACATTTTATTGCTTAGTTCATATTTCCTTCATTTAACATGAAGTACCCAGACCTAGTCATTGAATGTAAATTCCATGAAACCAAGGAATAGGTCTTATCTACTTAATGAATGTAACACAGTGGAGAAGTGTTAGACTTGAACTCAGTGAACTTCAGTTCAAGCCCTGATGGTGAAACAAAACTAGCTAAGTGACAATGGGCAAATCACAATATTTAGAGCTAGAAAGATATCGTAGAGATCATCCAGTCTAACCCCGTTCATTTTACAGATGAATAACCTGAGTGAGGCTTGGATCCAGGGGAAGTGCCTTGAGCTTAAGATCACACAGAGAGTAAAGCAGCCAAGATTCTAAGCAAACTCCCTCCTTCCTCTGTTTCCAAGCCCATCACTCTTTCCATTACACAATGCTGTGAAGCTCCTTCACACTGAGAAGCATGTTTTAAACAGAAGTAATAATAATAAAATAATAAAACAAATAATAATAATCATACCTGCACTACCTAAACCACAGGAAGCGCATTGTAATACCTTAAAAGCACTTGTGTAAATGGAAACTAATGGAGTACCATACTGAGCATTGGCTCAAAAACCTGAATAGAATCATGTGAAAACTAGAACCTTCCTTGTTATGAATAACCATTGTAGAAATGTGCAGTGCATGCAAACAGTACTGAGCATGCTACCTCTACCCAAATGCCCTAAAACTGCCTTAGTCCTTTGCTTCTCAGGACAGCAACTCAGCTCTGCCAAGATTGTGAAATGGCTGACCTTAAAGCCCTTTCTCCTTAGAAAGGATGAAAAAAAAAAATGATTGAGACAGAAGAGACATTTCCTGAAAAGGAAATCCTCCTTCCATGGGCTCGTAACTCATTGAATTCCACAGTGGAAAGAGCACTAGATTTGGAATCAGAAGATCTAGTTATAAAATTGAAGAATGATTGAACAAATTGTCACATATTAACATAATGAAATGTCATTGGGCTATAAAAATGATGATTAGAAGGAATTCACAGAATTAGGTGAGGAGTAAAATGACCTGAAGCTGAGTGATGTATACAGGAACAGGAAAACAATGATTACATTATACACAATGATTATAATGAAAATAAAAAGGACATTAAAACAGAAGCTAAGCAATTGTAGTGATCAATCTTGGGCCCAGGAAAAGAGATAAAGAGATACATCACACACCTTTAATTGGTGAGGTGGGGGACTTTGAGTATGAAATGGTGTGCATGTTTTCAGCTGTGGTCACTATGTCAGTTTTTACTTAACCATTTTTTCTGTCTAATAAGAGAAAGCTCACTGAGTAGGGGCATGGTAAGAGTGTGTTGGAGGGGAAATATAAGGAGAAGGGGAAATCCAAAAATGACTAATATAAAAACAAAAGGCATTAATAAAAACTTTTAAACATAAATGAACAAATGAATAAAATTTTAAAACATTAATAAAAACTTGGATACAGTTGCAACTCTGCCTCTTGCTACATGTGCCACCATGAATGAGTCATTTAAATTTTCTAATACTTTCTAACACTCATCTGGCAAATGAAACTGCTTGCCACCAGAAATAAAGGACAGAAAGAGCATTAGACTGGATTCCAGAAACCTGGCTTCAGTTCATCTCTGTAATTTACTA